ACTAATAATTATAATTATTATTATTTGTGGTTATTATGGAACACCTCCTTCCATCTTATTGTTATGCATAGATGTGGAATAGCTTTTACAATAGTTTTATACCCAAAGTTATAGTTTTATACAAAAAACTTTAAAAAAGCTTTAGTTGATTGAAAAATTATAAAATTTAAATTTAAGTTACATTTTTTACTGTATTAATGAAATTTATTTTATTTGTTTTCATTAACAAGCATCATCATTTATATTTGCTTTGTTTTGCCGTAGGATACGATCCAAAAAACTTTTTCTAGTTCTTTGTTTCGTCAAGATATGCTTTTTCAACTATTCTTTAAAATCCTTCATTTATTTAAAGCTGAACGAATGAATCGATTTTTCCTTTTATTTCTACAATGCTTGAAAAGAAGTTAGTTTTAAATCGAATATAAAAAGAAACGTCCCATTCATTTCTTACATCTCATTCGTCTTGAGTTAAACGGAAAGTGGCATTAGCAGTCGATGTCGATATTTAGCCTCTTAAAAATGGAAGATATATTTTTTTAAAAAAGAAATGTTGTATCAACTGACAAAAAGATTTATTTCAGTCCTTTGTCTAGAAACTGTTTCACTTAAAACATTTAAATTCTTATAGTAATGTTTGATTTGTTTTGCTGTTAGGAAAAACTGTGTGATGTTTTGAACAGCAAATAAATGACACTTGTTTCTTTTAAATTCTTTTTTTAAGAAATAAGGAAACCGTTAAAATTTTAAAATTGAAAAAAGAAATTTTTAAAGAAATAATTTTTCTTTTTATAATCTTGTTTAAACTGACAAAAGGTTTTACCGTTTCTTGTTTAGAAGCTGTTTCACTTAAAATATTTAAGTTCTTGGAGTAATGATTGATTTGTTTTGATAATAGGAAAATTGAGTGAGGTTTCTGAAGACAAATAAATGACACTTGTTTCTTTTGCACTTTTTTCATGAAATAAATAGTCCGTTAATTTTTTTTAAAGAATTTATCATATTTTTTATAATGTTGCTTTAACTAACAAAACAAATTATTTTAGTACTTTGTCTAGCAGCTGTTTCACTTAAAACATTTAAACTTCTTAGAGTAATGTTTGTTTTTTTGATGTTAAACAAATCGTGAGACGTTTTGGACAATGAAACTTGCTTGTTTTGAATTTTTTTATGAAATAAAGAGACAGTTAAGTTTTAAAACAGAAAAAGGAAATTTTTGAAGAATTAAAGTTTCTTTTTATAATGTTTTTTAAACTGACAATAAGTTTTACACTTCCCTGTTTAGATGCTGTTTCACTTAAAATATTTAAATTCTTGGAGTAATGTTTGATTTGCTTTGATGTTAAGAAAATTGAGAGAGGTTTCTAACAACAAATAAATGACCCTTGTTTCTTTTAAACTTTTTTATGAAATAAATAGTCTGTTAAAATTGTTTTGAAGAATTAATATTTTTTTGTAATGTGGCTCCGACTGACAAAACAAATTATTTCAGACCTTTGTCTAGAAGAAAACATTAAAATTCCTTAGAGTAATGTTTTATATTTTTTTGATGTGAAAAAAAAATGCGAGAGGTTTTGAACAATGACACTTGTTTCTTTTTAATTTTTTTTTCATGAAATAAAGATTCCGATAAAATTTTAAAATATAAAAAAGAAATTTTTGAAGAGTTAAAGTTTCTTTCCATAAAGCTTTTTTAATACGAATATTTAAAGGAATTTTATTTATTATAATTGTTTATACGGGTCATTTTTTAAAAAAAAATTACAAAAACTTAAAACTTTGAAATAAAAAATTATTTTAAAGCAAAAAGAATTTCTGCTACTTTTTTATTTGTTATTAAATGTATAAGATAAAAAAAGGAGCTGATAAAAGTCTTAAAGTCTTTATGCAGTCTTTTAAGAAAGTTCAATGTGTTGAAATTGTTATACAAAGAAGTTTTTAAAAGCCGGTTTAAACTTTTTACTACATATAACATAAATTTCGCGTATACTTTGCTACACATTTTGAGTGATATATTTTAAAATATTTATTTAAAAAATGATATTTCATTATTAAGTCTATTTCATCGTATTATTTTAGCTTTTCCATGTAATAAATCTGAAGGAAACCATGATTACTGAATAAATAACCACAATTTTCAGAAAAGTAGTTCAGAAAACCTTTCTCAATATATGTAGAGATATTCATTGAATTTTACAATTCTTCTCTTCAAAGTGTGTGAAGTACATCTTACTATTTTAACATTCCAGTGTAAAAAAAAATCCATTGCAAAAAGAAAAATAATATATAATTTTATAAAATTAAGACGAAATATTTCAAATTCAATGAAAATTTCACTTAGCAAATGTAATGCTCATGTAAATAAATAAAGTGAACATATATTTTTTCTTTATTTCATACAAATTTGTGTTGCAAACATTACTTATTCTGAAAAAGTGCGCAATGCAAAATATACATGCAATACAAACGTAAGGTACATGATATAACAATATACATATTAATTGATGCATATAAATGGAACATATTTTTGTTGAAAAAAATCTTTTGCAAATAACAATCACCGATTTAATGACATGTTTGAATAAGTTTTTTTATCAGGCTGCATATTTCAGCCAATAAACTAAATTGAAGAATGCAAATAATGCTGGAAAAAGGAATCTCGAAAATACATCTATACGTTGTGCAGTAGATGAGTACTTGTTCAGCCATTTCAATGGTGCTGACTGGATATTTCGAACTTGACTGGCTTTCCCGACGTCATCAATTCGAATAGAATTCTTCTAACAATAAAGATATTTTTGAAGGTTTAAAAATAATTAATAAGAAGAAAAACAAAGAAAAGTTTTTGCATTTTTTCGAAATACAGGGTGTTACAAAATTAATGATCAAAACTGTAACGAGAGTTATCGTATAATGAATCAATTAAATAGATCATGAGAAATGTAAATTTTAAAAATGCCTTCTTTTTCTCTGAAACGATTCGACCGATTTTGCTCAAATTTCGTATGCTGTGATTTGAAATTACACAATCTAAAATTATATAACTTAATATTACATAATTTAAAATGACATAAATTTTTTTTAGCTTATACCATTATTAAATAAAGCTATTATTTCAACCATTATGGAATAAAATGATAAACAATATAAATAATTATTAAAAAGTTTTTTTTTACAATGTTTTTATTTTAGTTGACGAATTCTTATGATTGTGTGCTAAAAGTTTTTGATTTGTTTAAAAAATTCCCAAAACAGGGTTAAATAAGCAAGTAAGTGAAAAAAGTAGTAAAGGGCCCAAACCTTTAACCACTTTTTTGACTAGGCTATGGAGATCACATCTTACAGACAGCAACTACCCTTCAAATTTTACAGTCACAGATTTGTTGAAAAAAGATATGCTTATTCTGAAAAAATAAGATTTCGTGTTTTTTTTCCTGATTTAATCATTTTTAATTAAGTTATTGAAAAATTAAAAGTTCAAAATAAGTATTATTATTAATTAGTGTTATCAAATTAGTGAAAATTCTTCCGTAAAACAAAAGTAATTTAAGGGGATTAATTGGCCTCTATACCTCATTGGTATTAAAATCCATGACCGGAAATGTCTTCTTACGCCAATAGGGGAGGCATCTAATGATGGATTGGCTGTTCGTGCGCACTAAAACAAGTTGTTTTATTTATTTAAATTATGAATTTCTGCTTATGCCTAATGTTTTCACCATGGCTCATTAACTTGCTTCTTTTAAATAGTATTTTCATACTAAGATATGCCTAGGATTTCATTACATTGTTAAAAATATTTGTAAGTGAAAAATAATTGTTTTCATGTGAGAATAATAATATTATAAATTCATTCTTGTTGGTTTCTTAATGAATAATCATTTACCTAATTTTATTACAATATGAAATTACCGTGTCAGAGTGAAGTCGTAATATTTAATCATTATTGATACAACAGCCAGGGATAGTCCTTAGTATGTGCCAGAACATTTCTCCTTGCAGTTTTCTTTATAGCTAGGTTTTTCCAGTTTAATACCCTAATGATCTTAAAATCCACTTTAATAGAGTCCACCCATTGACGTTTTGGACATCCTTTATCACAACTATCTATCGATTCATGTTTAAAATTATTGTGTGTTGGACTATTTGTATATAATTGCTCTTTTTGATTCCACTAAATATGATTCGCAAGACACTCGCTTCATAGTTGATAATAATAGTCTCTTCCTTCTTAGGTAAAGACTATGTTTCGGGTGCATGCGTCAAGACTGGGAGGGCGTATGCATCTGTCAAAGTAGGGTTGAAATTTTTCTATCTTTGGCCACCATATACTTTATTTTTTTATATTCTTATAGTTACAGTTTCTTATCACAGATGGACAAGCCAAGCTCTCCAGCCATCGGACATTTGCGAATTAAGCTATGAATGAGCTCCTTTCATTTGACAGGAGAGCACCGTAAGGGTGAAAGTACTTCTTAGTTCAGAAACCAAAGGATAGATGGCAGCACCACTCATTCGTGATGCCACTTCTTCAATTTAGATATAGATCTGAAGGGGAAAAATTTTCTCCAGATTCCTGTACTTGATACTGTTCAGCAACCGATATCAGCAAATTCTACTTCACAGATTTTACGCGAACCTATATCTCATGTACTTAGTCTTAGCGGAATAATGGTTCAAACCCCGGCCCCTCCGGATTGTAGTCCGATTTTCTAACTACTTAGCAACCACGGCCTTCTTCATTCATTTTAAAGATAATTTTCTTGACTGACTTTTCAAATTTGACAAATTCATCCTTTAAATCTCTCTCTGTTCTAGCTATCATGTGCTCATCTTCTGGATAAGTACCTGAATTGATTTATTGAATATATTATCTTCTGTGTTAATTGCGGAATCACGAATAATGTATTATGGGACCCACCTTCAAAGTAAAGCACAATAAGGCTTCTCTTTGTCTTAATCCATTTTCAACTGAAAAGGTGTAGATATCTTTCCCTGCGGTGGATAATTTCTCTTCCAATTGAGAGAATTTCACTCGTATTCTCATCATGTTATGTTATTATTCATTGCAAGTTCTGTTAATGAGTTAATTGCATAACTTTATCAGGTGTACCAGTTTAAGCATTGCGGAACTTACTTGTTCGTTTCTATCAAATTCACAAATTTAAAATATCTTTCTCACCTCTATTTCTTATAAAAACTTATTAAACATGAATTTTTGGCTATAACAGATGATAAATATATTTGCATTTTTACATGAACACAAAATAGAATTCGAAAAAGCAAAAATTCATTTATTTTTTCTTCTTTTCTATAAAATGTCAATAAAATTTCAGTAATTGACATTAATATCATAACATGAACTTTCTGAAAGCTTTTTTTATTACATATATATTATTTTTTGTGAGCTTATGTTTTAAACAAATATATAAAGTGCTGTTCTTTTAAGGGTCAAAAATTAAAAAAAGTATGGCATGAACATTTCGCACCCTCTTTTTTATTTTTGACCCTGAAAATGAATAGAATTTTTCTTATTTGTTTAAATTATTGAACACAAACATGTGATTAAAAAACTATATTTCACTATAAACAAGAAAAATTCTCGAAAAATTTCAGTTTTTAAACTTAATTTATATAGTAAGAAAGTATTCTGGAAAATCTCTGCCTAAATCCATTCAACTTAGTTAAAGAAGGTATTCCCCAACAATTATTATTATATTTCTTTGATAATACGTTTTATATATTTTTCAGATCACAAAAACTATTGCACGTGATAACAGGAAAATAAAGTCCCAACTGATATGTCTTACTAGTTTGTTCTCATCAAAATATTTGCTTCAATTCTCCTAAACAGGAAAAAAAATTCAAACGGTTCTATTACAATACAAGTTTTGTCTGTCCTGCGTGAGGAAGAAAATTTCCCTCGAAAGTGATCTTTGATGTTAAAAAGAAACTAGGCAAATATTTGCGATTGGTCATAAGGATGGTTAACAGTTAACTCAGTAACGTTGCAAAATGGATAAAATATAATAAGTTGCTTAATACGAGATACTCTATACTGCTCTCTCACCTGACCCAAGCGATTACGGAATGGACAAATTTGACAAGAGACCAATTTGTGGCAAAAAAAAAAAAAAAAAAAAAACAGTTTTCTGCTTTCTGTTTTCGGATTGGTGGTCGAAAAAGTTCATTTCTTAGGAATTTTCTTTTATTTGGAATACTTGGAATCTTGACCCGTATTATATGAGTAGGGAGTAGTAATCTAAAAAATACGACTTCAGTAATTCAGTCAGAAGTGCACAAATTGCTCCATTATAAAAATTATATATTTAAAAATAATATTTAAATTGTTATATTTTAAAAATTGTCTATTATTATTTTTGCAGAATTGTTTAGCTGATAAATTGCTAATTTTAGGCTTATGATCATAAGCTTTTGTAGTCCAACATAAGGTATTATTTCTTTAATACTTAATACTTCAAAACGTTTTATCAATGATTTAGTTGAAGAATAATAACATTTAATGCGAATTACATTTTGTCTGAAATTGTTATCGCACTTTGGTGTTCAAAATGGTTTATTACTTTGTGCTGAATGTCATGGTTCAAAATGATTTATTACTCTGTGTTTGATGGGATGGTTCAAAATGTTTTTAGCTTTGTGAATGATGGAATTGTTCAACATGATTTATTACTTTGTGCTTGATGTAATGCTTTCAAATGTTTTATTACTTTGTGCTTAATGTGATGGTTCAAAATGATTTATTAATTTGTTCTCGTTAAAATATGATTTCTCATTCACTCATGTAGGTATTTTGCCTTTCTTTAAAATAATGACTTTTACTTCTTATATAAAATTCAAAACCATAATTAAAGTTCATTATGCTTATGATTAGATGATTAACCAGTAGATTATAATGATTTCAATAGAGCATATAAGTTTTATATAGTTTAGAAGACTTTTTAACAGTTTTAAACTCATTGAACTTAACGTTAAGTTAAAACGTTAACTTAACGTTAAGTTCTGATATTCGTACTAGGAAAAATAGCCTAAGCGCTTTTGGATAAAATTTGAGACTAATGCTAAACTTAAAACTATAAATTAGTTACATAAACAATGTATGTACTTACATCTCCAAGTAATTCATCTGCGGTTAATTGGTTTTGCAAACGCGAATACTCTTCCTTGCTTAAGAAATTGACAACTAGACAAAGTTCCAGTATAACACTGAAGATGAAACAGACGCACACTCCAATCCAAACATCGCTTGCTTTTGTATATGATACTTGTGGGGTACGACTATGAATTGAAGTAGTGATTATTATCGAAGATATTAGAACTCCCAGTATTATTCCAAATCGAATGGTTGTGTACTTCGGATTTAACCAGAAAACCAACCAAGAAAGTAGAACCATACATGCAGTCGGCATATAGAATTGGATCATATAATAGAAGGAGTTTCTAGACAGAACCAAGTCTATTTTTATGCAACTATATGTGCCTATGAGAAATTAAAGATAGAATTAATTCGAAATTGAAAAAACTCCTAATTTAAATTTTGTTGCATTATTAAGTCACAATACTACGCAACGAAATATAAAAAGGATTATTTAAAAATCATTAGAAATAAAAAATTATAAGCAATACAGATATTATAAGTTATTAGAAAAATATGTTGCTATTGAAAAACTGGCTTTTCACACACACACATAATCGCATATATATATATATATATATATATATATATATAAATACAGGGTGATTCATACAAGATGGGCAAAACTTTAGGAACTGATAGTACACACCCAAGCAAATAATTTTTACCAAAGAATGCATGGTCGAAAACAAATTTTTTAATTAAATTTGATTTTATAACTTAACTTCATCGTCCTTTGCTTTTGAGTTTTGTTTTCGATTCTGTCTGGATCAAGACAGCCAAATAACTCATAATTAAATAATTTACTTTTTATTTTTTATTTTTGTATTTTTTACTAAATGTGTGGTAATGAAAACTATAATTCTGAAAACCGGAATTTCCGGTAAACCGTTTTCATATGAATGGAAAAGTTACCAAATGAATGGTTTAAATAGCGTATACTTTTATTTTTATTACCAGAGTTACTTTTTTTACCAGTAATGTCATTACTATACATTATAGTAATTTAACCACAATATTTTTCTCCATATTGAAAGAAGTGAGATAAAACTTTATTTTGCAATTAAGATGCTAAATACTGTTTTAATCCTACATTCAAGAAACCAATTGCTATCGGAGGATTACCTTATACTTTACAAGAAAATAATTTTCGATATAAAATTATTTCGTTTTGAATAAATTAATAAATTTGTTTCTTTGTTTGGGTATATACTTTTATGGTTTAACAAGCATTTGAAAAAGCGCAGGCGTATAATACGCAACGGCCGTTGTATGTTTTATTTCCTCACAGCAGTTTAATATGTAAAGCTCAGCATGACAGAGTATTATTTCTTTTATCGCAAATGACTTGTGCATTCGTCCCTTAATTTTTGACGTTTGTCACTCGCTTTTTTTGGTGACATGCTTTCTTTATATATTATCTCTGTTCTAAGGTATGTATTTCTGAAGGGGAAAAAAATAAGAAAATTACCTATGATCATTTAAAAAATAATGACGGTAATATTACTTCTAGGTACACTACAAATATAACCTATAAGAAAAGTTTAATTCCACAGACCATGAACGGGATTCTAACCTAGGTTTTCTCAGTCAGAAGCAAACACTATATCGTCAGACCCATACAGGACCACATAAAACCGTTTGAAATCGCATTTCTTTTAACAAACCATGTCTATTAAATTTTTGCCATGAATTGTAGAGTTGGTAATATCTTTGTAACCATTGTAGAGTTGGTAATATCCTTGACATTCATTGGTTATGTTTCAATAGCAATTTTTTCTTCAAACAAAATCTAGTAAAAGTGTTCCTGTTAAGTGTTTGTTTTACTAGTACGACAGTTCTGCTAGTACAATAGCAATTTTCTCTGTCATAGGAAAATCATAAAATTGCTCAAGTACGCTCTAAATGGTCCCAACAGAAAAAACTTCATTTTCCTTGACCATGGGGGAGATTCGACTCTCGGCCTTTTGTGTTAAAAATAAAAAGCGTTATATTGTCGAACCGTTCAGGACAGCATGAAGGAATAAGAAATAGTGCATTTTAAGCAAATCATTGTGTCTTTTTAAAATTTCTATCATGATTATTTTGTTGCATTGATTCTATTATTACTTACCAGTGTTTGTTGTACTAGTACAATAGTCTTGGGTATAAGATTTCAGTTGGAACTGTGGTAAAAATAAATTTTTTGACACTTGAACAGGGTTGATGCTTTTCCAGACAAATTCAATATCATCAGTCGTATATCCATCTAAAAGGAAAATGTATTAAGTTTAAATTTAATTAGTTTGCATTTCAATAGATTTAGAACGAAACACTTACAGCTTGCTGCTACCATGGAACAAACTTGGTTATCCAAAGGGTATCTGTCCAAACTCATCGGACAAGAAAGCCTCAAAGATATTCTAAAAAGCAAATTATGCCCTTTATAAATTAATTATAAATTATTAAAATTGCTCCAGCTAGAGTTAATTAAGCTATTTTAAGAACATTTTTATATTGCATAAATTATACTTTTGCACTACATGAAATATATTTCAACGCATATGACGTTTAATTGCTCACGCTAAAACTATAGAGACATGTAACATAATTTGCAATATATTTCAGTTCGCAAAAATAAAATGCATCATGTTTTATTTTATTCACTAAAAATATAGTAGGATTAAAAAATAAGTAAGACCAATTAGAGTAATATAACGAAGCGGCAAAGATGAAAGAGTTAGAGTGATCAACTCGGTATTTTTCCGATCAATCGCAGTTATCATCACTTGTCCAGGCTACTTTAAGAAAATTAATATTACGAAAATGTTTGGCTTTTGTTTTGGTTAGTGATCTTAATTTCTTTAACTAAAAATGTAATAAAAGTGCTTTTTGCAATTTAATTTTCATTAGTAAATGTTTTGAGTAGTGTGTGGAGATTTATTGTTAGCCCATTGACCAACTAGCATAAGCCAAATATTGAATTCTTACTTGGTATTCATACTCAAATTGTTCTTATTTTAACTATTAAGCAGCAATTTTTTCCCTTAACATTATTAAAAAATTTTCATACACGTAAACATACACTGTTAAAATTCCGGATCAAATTACGCTAAAAAGTAGGGTTGAGTGGAGTCAATTGTAACAGGGTACGATTGTAACAGAGCAAAAATTTCGAGTGTCGGGCTCTAGATTTGGTTCCTAGGTGGAGCACAAGGGGTATTTAATAAATCAGCATGTACACCCCTGATGGCAACCATTTTTATGTACTTTTGAAAGAGTTACATCACAAAAGATATTTTCACGCAACGTAAGTAATTTTTTTGGTATTAGAATATTATATTGTAACAAGGTAATTTTGTTTAAACAAATAAAAATTATTAACCGAATATGTAAGTGGACACCTTAATTAACATTTCAATAAAAAAAAAGATTAGTTTTGCTAAATAACTAGCATTGTTTTTAACAAATGAAGCTTAAATGGCGTCTTGGGGACAATTGTAACAATAAGTAAAGGGACGATTGTAACAGTTGAAAATAAATAATCTTATGTTTACAAACCATTACTTAACGCTTTAAGAACCACCAATAGTTTCCTATAGCATTTATATTATGTTGCATGTGCATTATTTTATTTGTCACCTTTCACAGCATAAATTAAAATTTTTAACCCCTTAAAGTTAAAAGTTTAACCCTTTAGGTCTCTGCTCATTATTATTTTTACTCCTAAAATATCACTACTATTTTGATTAATAAAAAAATATATCGCAACTATGATAATATGTGTAATTAACTATGTTTTAGTTGAATTTATGAACTGTTACAATTGACTCCGTAAGTGAAGACAATTGTAGCAAGTGCACGGTTGTCAAAAATTACTAATAACTAATATTTAAAATAAGGTATTTTTTTTTCTAGTAGAGGATAGTCTACTTTACTCGTCTGACAATTAATACTAATAATATATTGGATTTTTTGTTAGCTAAAAATAGTTAAGTAAAAATGTTACAATTGACCCCACTCTCCCCTACCGGCATTTAGGCTTCCGGTACATCCTAACTTAAATTTCTTCCTTTTTTACGGAACATGCTACGAAACAAAAACTCTGATGTATTTATCTAACAAAATATAAGATTTTTTGTTCTGTGTTAATGATGACGATGCATCTAAGATGACCCAAGATATTACAGAACAAGAAATTATAACCTAATATACTTATAGTAATAATTACCGTAAAATCACTAAATCACTATAATTAAATAACACTAACTGTAAAAAGTACGGTATAATATTTTACTGTAAAAATGGGTTTTAAGGTGAAATGGGCCTTGAAGATAATATTTACTTAAAGTGCCGGTACTCCATACTGTTATTTTATCCGAAATTTATTTAAGTGTTAGTAGTATTGTAGATTAAAATTTGGAACTAATTAATCACTAAAGTAAAGTAAATGCTCTTAAATTGGCAGGTGATTTAAATTGATGAGACAACTAAGTAACCATGAATTATGTAACTATAATTGTTTATGCAATATCTCTAAATGCATGACAATCATTTTACGCCAACATTCCTCCAAGACTGGTATGTCAACTTGCCACAACCGTTTTGTCTTTTATGTTTTTTAAATGATTAGAAACGTTGTGAAATTTTTTTCTGAAGTTTTGTGCCTCTTATGAAAACAGTATTTTGATTTTAAACACAAAATAAACAAAAATAAATTCAAAATCACATGCATCGAATGAAACAATTATTACTCGATGCTAAAAATAGTAAATTAACCAATAAAAGCTAATAGAAAAAGTATATTTCACCTTAAACTATAAAGAATCTTTCCGTCTGGATGAATTCGTATTAGAACATTTGGCTTAAGCATGTTATGAAAATGACCAGATTTTTCATTCGAGAAAAATAGATCTGGAGTCCAAAGCATTTCTGGGTCGGTAAGTGTCACATAGTTGAAATTTCTATTATTGTACTTTAACCTATCATCATGCCAGGTCTGTCTAAATGTTAACTGTGTATCATATACCTGCATAATAAAATAACAGATTTCGTAATTAGAATAATGAGATAGTGAGATTTATAATTTAGAAAATAATAGATTTAATAAATGAAATATGTTTTGGCTTATACTCAAATTGTTTTTATATTTAAGAAAACGTGATAATTTTGAATCCTAACAGAAAAAGTAATATTTCAAAACTTTCCATTTTCATTTAATATATAATTTAATATACAATTTGAATGCTCCAATTTATGATTTTCAAACACTTTAAGTTTATTAAGCTTATGAATGTTAAACTTAATAACCTGTTAGCCCATCATGAATAATGAGACCGTGTTAAAGATTTCTACTTAGAATAAAATCATATAGTTCAGCATATCCTCTCTTCACTAAAATGTTAATATTCTCTCCTCTTAAGAATTTATAATTTAATAAAAACGAGGCATGTTTATGTTTTCATTAATTTAGATATTTGAAAAATAACTCGTGTTTTATTTCGTTTCTTGAAATGCATTTTTAAAAACAGCTTTGTCTGAATTTACTAGCAAATTTCCTATACTTTTTCTGAAAAAAAATTTTCATTAAAAAAATATTTTAAAAAATTCATAAAATAAATTTTTTTTTTTTTTTAATTATACGGCAAAAAATTATTCGTCAAATTACGTTCCAAAGTATCGGCACTTTAGGTGCCTCATCTGCGGAATCTATTTTACAGTAAAATTCATCTTTACCATAGAATATTATACTGTAATTATTACAGTAATATTATTTAATTAGATTGATTCAGCCTAATTGTTACTATAAAAATTATGATTCAGCAGATTTTTTGTTTATTTTCTGGCAAAAAAGGATTTTATGATGAGAAATACTGGCAAACTGCGTGGCGCTATTTTTTACCGTAGTTTCATTTTCCTTCAAATGTTAATATAATAAAAAAAGTAAAATTTCAGAGAGCCAGGAAATCCTTAAAATTTACTTTTAAATATACTTTCAGGGGAATTTTCTAAATTCTAATATTAGCTTTGCAATAGTAATTGGACAATTGAAATTTTGCAATAGTTAGCAGTAATATTAAATTGAAGTTCAATTGTGTGATAGTAAAATGCATGCTATTGTAAAAAATAACTTAATGTTGAGTTGTATTTATCATTTTTCTTGCAAAATATACCTGCAGAACTTTAAATTCAAAGTGTTTAGAATTTGCATAAGAATGTTTTAAACTAAATTTTAATCTAGAATATTATTTTTATAAGATATTTACCATATTAACATCATCTATATTGTTTATGCTCCTCACATAAGTATCTACCACTACAACTACAGGACCTGAAACATAAAGAATATTTTTATATTCTCAATTTGGATTTCTTCCATGCAAAATGTGCATTGGTAGAACAATTTAAATATATTTCATTAAAAACAAATTTTTTTAAAGCGAAAAATTTAATAAAAAAGACTATTCATCAAAAAATAATTAAATTTTGTTTATTTATTGTTTATTAATAAATATTGTTTTCACTTTTCTGAATTTACTGGACCATCAAAAATGCATGGTAATTTCAAGAAAGATTTCGAATACAATTTGACGAAATAAAATTGAAAAAAAAAGAATACATACGATTTGCATACAGAAATGTTCTTCTGCAAAATTAGTTTTGGTTTTGTTGAAAGCAACGCTAAAACCAAGTTCAACAAGCTCTACAAAGATGGGAAAAAAGTGGCTGATTATGATTGTGTTAATCTGTTTCCCTGCACTTTTTCTCCTTTATCAACCTAATTATGTTTTTTTTATATTAATTAGTAAAAAAAATAAATTTTGCATAACTTTATTAACACTGAATGGATGAAGTTTGCATTTAATAAATTTTTAGGAGCTATAAATGTATATGTATTTTTATGCCTTCTAAAGTAAAATAAAAAGTGTTTTTCAAATGCATTCTAAAGTGGATTCTAAACAAAAATAATAATTTTTTTCTCTTAAATTATAGACATATATAGCCTTTTATTTTTTTACAAAACTCTAGCTCATTAATGCATAATTTCAGAGAAGAGTAGTTTTTACCTACCGGTGTTATTCAATCCAGCAGGTCGAATACGACGATCATACTTTTCAAAAATGGTAGAGAGTATATTTCGTTCTACTTCTAAGCGTCTATCATTTCTGAAAATATAAGTGAAAAACGCATTGAAACATATTATGATATAGATTTCTTCTGTGAAAATATCCGGTATACGTTTTCAAACACTTTTCGAATANGAAAACAGGGTTGCATATGTCTGTAGTATCGCCTACAAAATATACATATGGGTAGTACATTGACATTTGTATTTGTGTTAAAGTTATTTATCTGAGAATGTTTCTTATGTAATTATGACCGCTAGAGGAGAATTAACAGACTTTGAACATAGAATGGTAAATGGATCTAGATGCATGGGGCAATCCATTTCGGAAGTTATGTGAGAATTCAACATTCCTAGATCTATAGAGCCAAGAGTGTGTCGAGAATACCTAATTTCAGACGTAACCTCCCATCGTGGGAATGTTGCAGCTTACTGTCTGCACTTAATGACCAAGACAACAGACGTGTGCATAGAATTGTCAGTGTTAACAAATAAGTAACTTTGCGTATAAAATCTGCAAGCATCAACGCTGGGCGTAAAATGCACGTGTCCGCTAGGACAGTGCGTCGAAATCTGGTTGCAATGGGGTATGGCAGCAGAAGACCGACTTAATTGTCTTTACTAACAGCACGACATCACGCCTAATGCCTCTCCTGGACTCGTGACTATATTGATTTGACCCTAGATGACGAGAAAACTGTGGCTCTGTCAGATGAGTCGTGATTTCAGCTGCTCAGAGCTAATGTGAGAGTTCGAGTGTCCTATAATTTGTGATACCTTTGTGTGAAGCCAACGTCTTTGTGATTTCTTTGTATGAAGCCAATATAACATGATTATCTACCAAGACTTATATAAACTTCTAAAGACGTAGAATGCTTGCCCTAAAGAACAATAGACGTAATTATTTTTTAATGCGTCAAAAATTCTTAGAAGAGTGTCATTTTTGTCATGCTTTTATTCTTTTAAAGTAATATAATGGGAAGGTAGGATAATCAACAATCTTTAATAATTACTTTTGTTCTTCCATTTTTTTGCAGTAGTTCTATTTTAACAATAATAATTTCTCGATTAAATCCAAAAATCTGATTAAAAACTTGCATGAATATTGTAGAGAGTTAAAAGCCTTATCTTTGAGCTAATTTTGTATACTTACACTTCTGCAGAGCTAAGGAGGAACATGCTTAGAACTAAGCCGAGTATGAGATATTTAGCCATGACTGTTTCGCTTTTTACTTCGCTTATTCAGATAAGCTGAAATTAAAAATATTTGAATTGGAATTAAAATTATAGTACCTATTAACAAAACACAAAATTCTACATTTACATTTTAGAAAGATAGTTTTTCTCGCCATGATGCTTTATTAATCCGAATTACTCTCAAGTTTTTTTCATTGGTATTATCTTAATGTACCATATTAGTAATAGAGTATATTTTCTATTATACATAAGAGTTGGTTACGTCGTCAACATGGAGACGATAAGTCAGAATGATTAGAAAAGTTTTATATGCTTAAGTTTTCTGATGTTAAAACACATACTTTTTTTTAATTGTTACTAGCGTTTTTATCATTGAAAAAAAGGTATGTTAACTGAATAAGCTTAGTTAAGACAGCTAACAGAGATTAAAAATTAATATATAAATAACTTTATTATACAACTGAGAACAAACATACATATTTTAACAACGAATTTTTGTTTCTGTGGATGCATGGTAGTATGGAAGACAACTGACACCATTTCATACTACAATTGTTAGCAATTTACTAACGATATCCAAAGTACATCAACATTGGTGTTTTCGGAAGTTAAAATAATTCGCGTATGGTGTGAATGCGAATGAGCTTAGTGCAAACTTTTCCCATTGTAAGTGTGTTTAGATTATTTACACCCTTTTAATTGTATATGAAAGTTCGATTTGTTATTAACTTGAAATAAAGTTTTCTGGCTTATTCAGCATCAAATTTGCAAAGAAAATTTACAAATTTGCATCAAATTTGCAAATTTACCACAATATTTTCCGTATAGCATACTGCAGTAAAAATCTTACAAGGCAGAGTAAACTTTTCGTATTAATTTTTTTTGACACAGTAACAAGAATTCAGGAATGCTGCCTGGAAATTAGCAGCCTGCTCATGTGCTTAATTTATACCAGTAAAATTTTTGGTGAAAGAAACAGAAAGTTTTTTTTAATGAGAATTCAGAAACCACCTCGCAAGAAACAGTAAATAGCATTCCTGGAAGAAGCTTGGAACCTTGCTGAAGTATGCAGAAAATATAAAAATCATGATAAAAAATAAAAATTATATGAAATTATTAAACTGTACCACATTTGCCAAACTTTCTCTCATAATATAAAATGCATAATCCATAATCATCATATTCTTGTAGTTTCCCCCATACTTTTTCCTCAGTGCAGTAAAAACTTTTTAACTTTTGAAATTGATAACTTCTCATCAGAAAAAAATATTCAAACTCAAGTAAATTTTGAAAGATAATGCGATATTATGGATAAGCAAAAGTACTATTTGCTAATACCAAAACTAGCTCACATTAAGTCTTTGATTAATTCAAATATTGACATGGTGCTAGTTTCAATGTGATCAGTTTAATAATTGTCAAACCATTATTCTTTTTTTTCTTTTCATCAAACAAAACAACTACAAAATTCTGGAATCAAATTTAAACTAGGTAAAATTAAACCAACTTTACACACCACTGCTAAAACATAAGTTGCCAGCTGTTGAATTTATTGAAAATATCAATCAATGAGTGTAAGGAATTGTTATTATTACGGTAAGATATTTGGTATTTTGAAATAATTGTTTTCCACCTCTTTAGAAATTCTGATGCCGTCCCTGCCAAAAAAGTTACTTTTTCCACAATTGATGGGACGAGACGTAGGGGACGACCACCTACAAGATGGATAGACGACGTAGAAAAGGACCTCAAGCTATTGGGAGTCAACCGATGGCGGGCCGTCGCACCGGACAGGGCCAGATGGAGGAAAATCTGCGAGTCAGCCTTGGCCTGTGAAAGGCTGTTGCGCTTATGAAGAAGAAGAAGAAAAAATAATTACTTGCATTCATGTGAATCTTTTATATGCCAGACTTCCTAAGTAACTAATGTACTTAAAATCTGTGTATTTTCTGCGATTTTTAAGTGGCTATACTTTTATGCATTTTTAAATTATGAATTATAATAAATTTCTTTTTGATCAATTAAATAATATTTTTTAAAGCTTAAAATATAAAAATAAATTTTTTCATCAATAATATAGTAATATAGGAAAGTTTAAATTCATTTATTTTTATAATAAATGATATGTGCATGCGAACTCTTTCTTCATCTGTTCTCTGAATATTGATAAAAAATATTTAACCAAAATTTTAGCTATAAACTCAACTATGACAATAGCAAAAGCAATTCATCCCTATATTAAGGAATTATAATGAATAGTTGTAAATGTGACATAAGAAAGATAAAGAATTGGAACGTTCAAGGGTAAGTAGCAAAATACTCAAAATGGCACAATATATGAAAAATTACCTTCCTTTTAATCCACTGCATGAATATCAATATATATATATATATATATATATTTANAACTATTTACAACTATAATACAAAATGTATTGGCTAGTCGTAAATGTAATATAAGAAATATAAAGAATTTGAATTGTTAAGGCAAGTATCAAAATACTCAAAACGAAACAGTATACAAAATTCTCTTTTCATCCGCTGTTTGAATATCGAAAAAAATATTTAATCAAGGGAATACATACAAACTATGGACTAAAACAATAGCTGAAAACTATTTTCAACTATAATAAGGAATTACAAAGGAATGTTTTATATGTAACAAAAGAAATATAAAAAGTTAAAAATTTTCAGGGCAAGTACTAAAATACTCAAAATGATGCAGTACATGCAAACTCTCCCTTTATCTGTTGTCATTAGTCTTAGTCAGAGGCAAGAGAGTATCATTCCTCGATTTCATATCTTGCGTGCATTTAGTTGTTCATATCTCTTGGGTATTCATATGATGTTGTTCTAGTTTTCATAAGAGATGGGATTTTATTAATGGAATTTGTAGTAAAAGAGGTTATATCTTATTTGTTTTATGTCATTAGCATCACATTTCTTTTCAAAAGAAATAAATTCGAATAAAAGGCTAGATAAATTGAAATGTTAAATAAACTGAAATATTAAATAAACTAAGTAAATTGTTCATGTAAATTGTTTTTCGATTTATTTTCTCATCTGAAAGAAATGTGAAAAGTTTAGTTTAATAATATTTGGTTATCAATGATAAAACTGGTAAGTTCCATACGACATTTTTAACAGTTTAAACTGTACAAAGTTTGGATCAAATTACGCTAAAAAGTTCCAGAACTGCTGGTACTTTTAATCGTAAAATTCATTTTTATCGAAAAATGTTACGTATCAAAAAATCTTAAATACCGTAATTTTTACTGTAATAATCACCGTGAAATCACTGAATCAAACTAATTAAATAAATATTATTGTAAAATGCAATATAATATTTTACGGTAAAAATGAATTTTACGGATGATGCACATAAAGGGCATTTTACACCATAATTTGACACGGAATATTTTACAGTGCACTATTTGACATTTGCTTAATTTTTCACCGTTCCTTTTCTTTTATTGATGCGCCACATATCATTCTTACCTGCTTAAAATTCATCTTAATCTCCAAAAATATTAAAAATATTTTTTAAAATTTTAACTTTATTGAAATAGGTACCATAGAAAATTCGCACTATTATGCAGTATCAGTTCATGCGTGGAACTACGGTAGTGAGTATTTGATAGTACTACGGTGTAGTATTTGCAGAGTGAGTATTTGCAGAATGAATATTTGCAGAGTATTCGATTCTAGTGTTGGGTGAACAAGGATGAATCACCAAAATAAAAAAAGATTATCATGTAAAATTTGAGGTGAAAGTTGATTTTACTGTTAAATGGATTGTATGGATGTCGCTCTCAGGATGCCAGTCCGTTTTACCGTAATTTGATGTAGTATTCTTTGGAATGCGATTATTTTTCACCTTTCCATTTTTGACTTCTTTCTGTTCTTGATGCAATTTTTTAACTTATTTCGGTTAATAAAAAGTTTTTTGGTCTTATTCTTGATTTTATGTCTGCATTTGTACTTGAAATGTTAATTGTTCAGCACTAATTTTATTAATTCGACTTAACTAATATTATTTTTATGATATATTAGTAATAATAAACTGATGAATCAACATATCATCCGCTATTGATCGTAGCAGTAACTAGTACTGTTATGCATTGTTTTTTACAAAATTGCTTTTTAATTCTGTATTTAAATCAAATTATACACGGAAAAAATCTAGTAAAATTACCGTACTGTCTGATAATAGCATTTTCGGTAAAAAAAAACCCGTAATTCTGGTTATTAAATCTAAAATATAGGGTATTCAACTCATTAATTTGGTAATTTTTCCAGTTATAATGTAACAGTTTACTGGAAAATCTGGTTTTCAAAATCATAGCTCCTATTGCCTCCTATTTAGCAAAAAATACAAAACTGGAAAATAAATCTAACTGGACAAATGGTCTTTATGCCTTGCTCTAAAGTGTAATGTAAAATTATAAACTTTTATCACATAAAACCATATTTTAATGTTAATTTTACTAAAATCATTACTAAAGCACATCGATAAATATTGCTGAGCGTCCAGTCAAAATTATCGAACACGGTAAATTTTATAACTTTATTATATCCCATGCTTGACCATGGTTTTTTACTCAGTGTAGCAAGAAACACTTTTTACTATATTACTTTATATGCTCTAGTTTTAGATCAAAGCAAAAAAAGAAATGATAATGAAATTATCATTTCTTTATAATTGATAATGAAATCTAATCTTTAAGTTTCAGGGCTCCGCCGAGAGAAGGTCGATCATTTAGGGCTCCATAGCCGAAAGAAAATGGTAACCACTGTCTTAGAGAACATAGGAGAGAGAGCTGAAATAGCCTGGTTGGTAGTGGGCTGGGCCATGTCCAAGAGGTCGTGAGTTCAATCCCCGTCCACCGAAGATTCCCCCCGTAAAAATGGTGACTGATGCATGTTAAATCTGTTGGATGACAAAATCTTCCATAACTCCAAAATCAATACTTTTGGGGTACTGAATTGGAGATTGATTGTTGACGTCAAAACTACGATCTGATGATGTGGATGATTGAATGGTTCTACCCTAT